AGACGGAAGTTCAAACTGAGGATAGATACAGAATAATTACTCTCCAATAGGTTTCAAGTACAATGATGACGAGGAAATAGGCAAATCTGGTGCTAAAAGCAAATAGTTTATTCTTACACAAAAATGATTAACACGAATTGCGACTTCGCCTAGCAGTTGTGACGGAACCCACTTATTTGAACAAAGAAGAGAAGATAATGAACAGAATTTTTCCAATTGTCAAAAAAATAGGATGAAGAATGGGCACTTACAAAGAGGGAGTTTATCATGATTTACAAAAAAAAATAAACCCACTATAGATGAGATAGGCGCGTGCTGTTCAACAACTGGCTCTTCATCGTAGTCCAACTCATACACGTCTGAAAAGGGCAAATTGGAGAAGATTCCTTGCTTTCAGCAAACAAAAAGGAAAATTAAACTTTGCTCTGTACGTAGAAATTCAAAAGATGAAAATATCGAAATTCTGGGTAACGCTTAGTTAGGAGTAAAGCATGCTAATGAAAGCACAAAATAATAAGACGTAGAATAGCGGCTCCCATAAGGTTTTAGAAGAAAAAAAATCAAGTTTATTCATTTCACAAGAACGCAAAGGAGAAATGCGCTCTCCATGTTAAAGAGACATAGTATGATTTAATGTAAGGAATCTTTTCAAAGATTTCTACGATCGCAAATCTGTTAAAACCCTACAGAGCAGACAAATAAGAAGTTCATGGCGTAGGAGAAAGCCCTCTGTTTTGTAAAACCTTTCTTCAAAAATCATACACAAGATAAAAAGAAGGGAAGAAACACAAAACGAACCTTCAGTGGCCATTTCCAAACAAAAGCTTCCGCGAATACTTGTAGTCAAGTTTGAGCTGCTTGTTTATTCGGTCCTTCAACAAATCTGAAACACTGAATGATTGCAAAACAAAAGGAAAAATTCAAAATGCCGTCAAGATAAACATTAATCAAAGTTTGCTTTACGTACGCAAAAGTGCGTACGACCTGTTGCGGAAATATGGAGAAAGGGACGTCGTCGGATTCGAGTCTCATGCGCCACAATGATTTTCGTGTTCTTCTTCTGCATTGTTAGTTTGATACTTTGGGGTGTATTCGTCACAACTGGCTACCTTTGCTACCTCGTTCGGCATTCCAATCATGGACAAAAGAAATATCTGCTTAATCCTCAAGTTGAATCTGTATCACTCTGTGTTGTGTTGGGCTCTGGTGGCCATACCACGGAAATGTTGGAATTGCTGAAGCATCTCGGAGCTCGGTACACTCCACGGTGGTATGTTGTAGCAGATACGGATCACATGAGCAAGGATAAGGTACGAGAATGCAGCTGTTCTACACTTTTCCACAATTAAATATGCAATATAGCACAATATTGCACTGGAGAACTTTAAGATTTTGCACGTGGTGGTAAAGTTCAGCATTCACAACGCTTGTGAATTGTAGTGCTTATTGTGGCAGTACTGGTATGAGGTTTTGTGAAAGAGAGGTTGGCTGTTGTCAGAAAGACCAAGAGCAACGTTTATGAGGAAAGTTCTTAAATCTGGATTATTGTATGAGTCCCCACATCATGGAAATGTTAATAATCAAATCTACTTGAAGATTTGTTTATTTTCGTTTAGAAAAACGGATAATATTCTATGTTGCCTGACACGATGTGTAAGAGCTTTGAAACCGAGTTTCATCGTATTTTATTATAGGGCAGTATGTTTAGAATAGACTGTCGTGAACAACGGTCTGAAGACTTCACAGAACTCCAACGAAATCTTT